AACAGGTCCTTGATTAGTTAGTACCCAGAGTTTATTGTTGTTAAATCTTTCTGGTTTTCAGTATGGAACCAGCGAAGGCAGCTGTTGATCAAAGTCTGCAGTGGTTTACTGTAAATGCTTTTCGTGCAGCGCCAATCATCTGCCCCACATAGAAGAGCTGACTGACTTAACACGGGTGTTGAAAATCAGAATTTTGTTATCTATGCTGAGTGAGTACAGAAGATATACAAACTGATTTCAGAGTGATGAATTCCTATCTTACCTTTACAGTTCTGGTTTGGACATTCTCATCCACGCCATCTACCAGTAGTTAATACGATGCTGCCTGCGTAAGTGAAGGCAGTGACCTAATTCAAATTTCTACCGTTGATAGGGATTCGTGTTGGTGTTTGTTGTTGGTTGGTTATCTTTATCACCTCGGTCTTCTCTATGTTCACTTGAAGTTCTGTCTCTGTTACTTCTTTTGTCGACTTGTTGGACATCAACAACTGGTCCAAGTCAAATGGTCTTATATTAAATCCTTCCAAATGTCAGGTGCCTGACTTTACTTTCAAGCATCGACGTGACTTACTTGAACTAGTTAACTCTCATGATCCCTGTAGCATAGATGGCACGGAAATTGAAACCAAATCAAGTAATTAATACCTTGGATTAGTTCTTTCCTCTGACCTTTCATGGTCATCCCATATCTTATCTATCTCTAAGAAAATGTTTCGTCTTACCTTCTACATTTAAAAAAAGTTAAGACAATCAGGTATCAACCAACCTTTAGTTTTGCAATTTTTAAACTCCTGTATTTTACCTATTGTACTCTACTGCTCTCCATTAATCTTTCCTGGGCTTCTCAAAAAAGATTATATCACATTACGAAGAGTATTAAATGCTGTGAGTAGAGCTTGTGGTCTGCCACTGCATGAGCTCGCTAACACTATAGTCGAGAGGCATATAAATTCCTGTACGAAATGGGCAAAGGCTATAATGTCAGACCCTCTGCACCCCCTTTATTCACACCTGTCCCCTTGTATCTCATCAGGTAGGACGAGAAGTCAATATAAAAAGATATATGCTCGTACTACTAAGTATAGAAATTCTACAATACCCTATTTAGCGCGTACTTTATGTGACGAAGACTCTGTTAGACGTGAAACTTACAAGTTACTATGTAATTAGCACAGTGAATCGACCTTTTTATCGTTCATCTTTCTGTATTTTATGGTGTTACACTTTCTATCGTTTAAATCGTTACTCTGCTATTTTATATTAGTTGGTATTACTATTATTACTACAATTTTGTACTTTATACATATTTTTCTCCGTATGGCACACAGTATTTTGCTACGCAGCTGCTACAACAATCGTTTTATTACTATTATGTATTGTGTATTTTTAATTTTTTTTTGTCGTTTTTGGGTAAATTAGATGCAATATTGTACTGAATGCTGAAAATTCCTTGCTGTATCATGAGTACTGTTTTTGGAATAAAGCAATTATTATTATTATTATTGTTGGTTTTTCCCTGCATATCTTCTAATTTGTGTGACATTAAAAGGTGGAGGTAGCGCTTTACTGTTAGAAAAGCGCACAACTTCTAGATGCTAAACTATAGTAGTAAATCAAACACAACATGTTAGTTTATTCACGTTTCAGAAACCAACTAATGTTCACAGATATATTCTGTAGTGTATCTAATTTTCTCGATAAGGATCAAACCCAATATTGATCAATTTAAACAATATGGCGTTACCATAGCAACCCAAATAAGGGAATATTAACTGGATATCTGAAACAGCTTCTACTAAGATAAACATTTATTTTATTTATGTAATTTTACATGGAACAAAACTCTCTTTAAGTGAAAAATGGATCCTTTCTAATTATGATTCATCAAGGAAGAATGATGGAATCTTCAGATCAATCTCTAGGATGGTGAGATAGAACAGCTAACTGACAAATCTCAATAAATGCCTGGTCAATGTTCCTGTAGTTGGCCATTCTTTATCAACAACCTTATATTCGATGTGGTTCTGTGAAGCCAGCTGTATTAGATGTTCGACATAGATTAGATTCAAAAAGGTTCAATAAAATTATCCTTCCCACATGGTTACGAAGACGTAGCAATGATACTGTATGTGAAAATCAATAGTTCAACATCTTATTGACACTGATCGTGTAGTCTCGACTATCTCTTCGTTCAAAGTTATTTGCAAGGTGAAAGCGGACCTATCAAAATCATTTCGTTTTCCCTCCTTATGTAAAGCTCAATTTTTACTAGAAAAGTAGAGAAGCTAGAGTACTGAATTTTCACTGCCTGTTTAACCTTCCTTTCTTTGGTGTAACTTGAATCCTTTCTCCTTATATAGACATATTTTTATTTTCAGGTATTGGTTTTGTAGTGATTTTGTTTGATTGCATGGAGGATTTTACCATGAGCTGACATCAGTTAGAGAACCACTGGAAAACCTGGGAGTACTGGACAGCTATTTCGTCCTAGTTTGGGACTCTTCACCAGCACGCACCCACCGGGGTTCGAACCCAGGGCCTTCTGGTTACTAAGCGAGCTCGTAGACCATTTAATCACTGGGACCCGATCCAATGGTCCATGAATTCCAACCTCTGCCAATTCACGACATAGCGTGACCACTTCGCAATGTCTTCTTCGATGAGTTACTGCCTTATATTCAACCTGCTGTACCCTACTGGTCACAGCTTCCCACTAGAACCCCAGGTTATTCTATTTCATTGATTTCTTATGTGAAGGGAAATATATATTTTTATAGTTTTCAATCCCATCAGGTTGATACTATATTCATTCATGAGGCCAAAAACCAGTTCACCCTACTAGGCACCCAGGAATAGGATGGTTTGAACTGGTTCACTCCTCTGACTTGAGTTGAACCACGCACACCACTGATGAGTTCGCCTCCCCCCCTTTCAAAAAAATAAAACAATCGTCCAGTGACGTTTAGATCACAACCACCTTATTGGTTGGCAAACACTAATGGTTTCTGTGAGTGGTGGTATCCAACTACTCATATCAGGCAATTAGTCAAGTGGTAACATATGGTGTCATTGTATTTACGCTTGGTTTCTATATTGCTGTTTATGCTATGAAGTATGCTTTGATTGGAAACTGGTAACTAGCGAGATGAATTCAGTCCTTTGTTTAGTGCAGACTGAGTTCTATCAGTCAGGTTTGCAATGTGGCCACCACTCTAGGTAGCTCACCATTATGGTGCACACTGATTTGGTGATATTAGATAGCTGGAGGCAATCGGCCACAGAAAGCCTTGAACCTAGGTTTCGTGCTAGTTGGCACTCACCAGTCAGCAAGGTGAATCTCAGAAGGGACATGAGTTCCTTCAAGGTTTCAGATACGCCCTGATGACTAGTGAGTATCAACTAGTACGAAACCTAGGTGAAACAAGGCTTCCTGCCGATTGCCTCCAACCATCTATTATGGTATGAAGGGGGTCACATGCATTCTGATCTGAACAGTTTCACTTTTAAAAGGAATTTGTGGTGAAGTTTCATCTTGAAATGTGCAAACTGCAAACCGTGAATTTGATTCATTAAAATATTTTGTTGTATACCTCATCTATGCCTTCAACAGCTTGGCGAACGTTCGTTACTCTTAGCGAACTTGTAATTCAAAGTGATTTTATTTTTTCTTCACTTATCGCTATATGTTATTAACACGAACGTTGGTGAACATATCAGCGAAACAAGTGTCACACAGCTGTAGTGTATACCAGATCATTAAAGAGGGTTCATTCAGTTCAGATAGTGGTTGGACTGTGTGCTTCCTTCTTTCCCATATTACTCCAGCAGGAATTTACTATAGTCCAGGGACTTGATTTCGAACCATTTGGTCGCCGGTTTGAACCTCAGTCTCACTAACCTAGTGAGATTTGGGAACACATAAATACACCAAATAAGTGTACAAGCAATTAAAGATTTCCCTGCAATTTATGGAGCTGCTTATAACGATGAATATAAGAAAATGATGCGATATGATGTCTTCTAGAGAAGCATCATTACTTAGTATTTAAACGCTTAAAGTGCTGTAGGAGAAACGATGAAAGGATATGATGTTTATGCTAGTTGTTTTTCGTTGTGTTTTGTTGATGAGTTTGTGTACTGCTCATATGTCTGTTGCTTTGTTTATTTATTAGTGTATTAGGAGTGTTTTATGTTTGTGTGCTATGGAGATAACTATGGCGCCGTAGTATCGCAATCGGTTAGCACTTTAGTCGCATAATCTGAAAGTTGTGAGCTCGAGTCTCACCCAGGGAGTTGTTTTGGCTGGCCTTATTATGAAATAAGTATGAAACACAGAAAATATCCGCTATCGGATCACAGACACATTGTCAATCGATTAGTTAGTTATCTGTCAGTCGAAAATCTCCGCATACAGCCTTCGCAATATGGGGAGGCGCAAAATAAAATAAAATCGTTATAGCGCGATGATGTCCACCTCAAATTACGCACAAACAAATTCACACGGACACAAAGAATACATTCAGCCAAAAAACTAACTTACACATGGATATTTGTTAGATGGTTGGAGGCATTCGGGATCCAGTCGATGTGGTTATGGGGCTAACTGTACACATAGTACTTTCCTAGATCTCTCTCTCTCCAAGTGCAGTATTGGGTGACGTGGGTTTGAAACTCTAAAGGAGGCACCCATTCCTTTTTGGCTTCAGATGCAATTTCAGCTTCAGTGGGTACTACTCCTATGTAGGTGTCCAGGGCTTCCTGCCTATTAGCTCCAATCAACTAACCTCAGCGTAAAGCATACCGTGATATCCGTCAATTACTTTGTTAGTGACCAAACTTGATTGACAGAGACTTCAGTGAAGGACTAGGAACATGTACACACAGGTCTGGCGTTAATGTCGTCCCTCCCTTCGATCAATAAATTTATACATAACACAAATACAAGATAAATAAAGAAATACGGAGAATAGAACAACAACAACTACAACGATAATAGTTACCTGATGAGATATGCGTGGCCTGGTAGGTGTAGCCATTCCTCGCCGCCGCATCTTCTTCATCGCCACTATCAACAACTTTCAAAGAAGAGGATGATGAAGAGATAGAAGTGACATTTGCTCCACTTAACGTATTATTATCATTAGCGAATTCATTAGGCATTGATGATTTACTCTCTTGTAACTTCTTCGTAATTTGTGCAACGAAAGTTGTCAATTCGTCAGCTATAAAATACAGAGTAAACATAATTATCAGTGATGTAGTCTTGAGTTAACACACTAGTAATGATGTAATAAGTGGCAAATGAAGGCGAAAAGAAGGCTGTATCCGACTGAGTGGCCAACGTAGGACTTCTCACACAGAAGTGCACCAGTTCAAGCTGCTACACTCTGTGTAGAAGACGAAGATGGAAAAAAGAGAGGGGAAAAATGGAATTCACAATAACTGTAATCAGCTGCTGATGAGCTCTTCCCCAAAAGGGTGAAACAGCCATCCAGTGCTTAGATCACTTCGATCTAGCTGGTTGGCAAGCACTATTGATTCACGTGAGTGGCAGATATGCAACTACTCATCTCAGTAAATCAGTAGTGTGTAGTTTAAGGTGGACAATGCATAGCCGTGAGATACAAGGATAAGCCATTTACACGATTATTCTTCATATGCTATATTTATTTGGTAGTTTCAGATTAAAACAAAACACTGAAAAGATTATTTCTCACCTCTAGGTAGATTCCTATTTAGAACACGAAATGTTCACTAATACAGTTCAAACTGGAGAAGTACCCCTTCCATGTCAACTCCGACTGTACTTACTATTTCATACGCACTTCACGTGAAAATTAATAAAGTGTTTGCAAGTGCAACCTCTAAGCACCTGAAACTAGTCAAGGCTTCAAAAATAATCAACATACAAAAAGAAATTCAAGTATTGGTTTGTAGGGATTTGGTTGATTGGTTACAGGATTTCATCATGAGCTGACATTGGTTAGAGGACCATTGGAAAAGCCGGGAGTACTGAACAGCTGTTTGGTCCTAGTTTGGGACTCTTCAGCAGCAGCTATGTGGTGAATTGGCAGAAGTTAGAATTCATGGGCTGGCCATTGGATCGGGTTCCAGTGGCTCAATGGCCTACGAGCTAGCCTTGTAGCCAGAAGGTACTGGGTTCGAACCCTGGCGGTGGGTGCGTACTGCTGAAGAGTCCCAAACTAGGACGAAACAGCTGTTCAGTACTCCTAGCTTCTCCAATGGTCCTCTAGCCAATGTCAGCTCATGATGAAATCCTGTAACACAAAAAGAAACCTTTCTAATTTGCTTCGCAGAAGCCTTTGCTATCAAAAGATTATAAATTAATCACTGTATACAGAAAGGTAGTGTGAATAATCCCACACCACCCTGGAAACTAAAGAATTAGCAATAAGAAACTTTGGGAACAAACTGATCAAGAACCTGTCGTTTAATAAATATGTAGGAGAAATTGAATACGGATAGGGCGCACACTGAGGAGACCGACGAATTACTTCACGCGCCCACGAGTGGGTCGTCTAAGAGCAATATGGAGGAAATCATGTGAAGAGGGGATGAAAGATTATGAGCAGTCATCAGCCGAGATAAAAAAGACATCATAAAAATAGAAGAAAGTTGAGATGTGTTGTTGAAGCCTTGTGTTCCACTCGGAACCCAAGGGAACAATAATAATAATAATACCCTGGCGTCGGTGGCACAGTGGTTAGGACTCTCGCCGACCATGCACATGGTCCGGGGTTCGAGCCCACGCCGGCGCACACCTGATATCTATGGTTGGCCTGCGAAATTTGGGCTACCGATATCCATGCTGAAAATTCCATACTTGTACCAAAAATACAGTGTGGAATCAAGCTGTATATCTAAAAAAAAAAAAAAAAAAACTAGACATATCTAGTTTGTTTCTGAATTTTTCTTTGCCTGACAATCTTTTTTGACTACAACTCACCGAAATGAACTCATTCCTAGTGTTCCAATATACGCAATTATGTGTGCATGTAATAATTTTACTTCTATAGATCAAATTCACAACTGCAACTTGCACTCTACACAGTTCGAGTAATGAAATTTTATTTCGCAAGCAAATTATTCAGATCACAGTACGTGACCTGCTTGATAGGATAAATGTTAATTAAGAAGTCCGGCATACTGGCATGAAACTATATACTAATGACTGATTGAGGTGAGTATTTACATACTACTTACATCAACACCAGTAGTACTTGTCAACTAGCTAGATCGATGTGGTCTAAACACCACCAGACGGCCATTTCGCTCGTTTAAAGCCAAGCTCATCAGTGGTGTAGCCAGTCTGACTTAACAAAGAGGGCCGAATCAGTTCATACCACTTTTTATCACCTGTCTTCTTGAAAAATCCATCATATTATGCATCAAAAACTCCGGTTGTTAGATTATTAGCTATTCATATCTCTTGTTCCCCGATAAACACTTTTGAGTTGAAGTAATTTTAAGGTATTTTATGTATCTTCAGATTTAAAGTAATTGATAACATTTTTAGGCCTTTAGCAGCTGATAAAAAGCTGTGGAGTAAAAAACACATGAACTCTTTTTATCCTGCTAATGTGTTCGTTCTCTTCTTTGTTCAAAGGAAACAAGGGAATTGACTGTAGGAAACAACATGATTTATGAGGCAGTAGTATCGTTTTATTCCCTTATATTTTGTCAGGCTCTCTGAAATATATTCAGTGTGTAAGCCATGAAAAACCATATCTGTCGGCCCAGTATACCCACTTTTCCATATTCATGTAAATTACAAAATACCATCATTGGTTGATTATGAAGAATATTTTTTATGGTAGTGTATACTACTAACTGATTGATATGAGTAGTTGAAAACTACTAGACAGATTGAAGTGAAGTAAACACCGGAGAAGCATTTTTTTTCTCATCAAAGGAACACCATGTATGACTCAGCATAAGTGACTGAATAACTTCGTACAGATCGATTTCTAGCTAGTTTTATCGGTACCATTTACTCACCTGGTAAGCCATCGTCACAAAGAAATTGAAAGTAATTTTAAGGTTTCTAACACCTGAATAACTATTGTGTCAGTTTATGATAAGAAGAGATAATTACGAAAGCGACAGGCGTCAATATCTTACTAGACGTCACCTGTACATAGGGTCCGTGCAGTGTCGGCTTTAGACTATGGTCGGTATCTTCAGAGTCTTCAATCAAAATTACAAGACTTTGACACTATTAAGCGGACTTTTAATTAAAACTTTAGTAGACATTAATCATTAAAAATCACAAGTTATAAGGTGTATCGTAAACACTGAATTTCTCAATGTTGTATCTGCTTTTTCAACTACTACGCATAGTCATCTGATGTGTATACACGTCTGCGTGGGCATCTCTATCAATGTGTGTGTGTGCATGTGTGAATAACAACTATAGATAGAGATACAGAGAGAATGTTTTAAAATAGCTTGCAATGCAGTTTCGCACAAATAATAAAATATGCTTTTAAGTATTGTTTTTATAGGGATTTTGTTTGATTGCATGGAGGATTTCACCATGAGCTGACATCAGTTAGAGAACCACTGGAAAACCTGGGAGTACTGGACGGCTGTTTCATCGTAGACTAGGACTTTTCAACAGTACGCACCCACCGAGGTTCGAACCTAGGACCTTCTGGTTACAAGGCGAGCTCGTAGACCATTGAGCCACTGGGACCCGAGGTTTTCCAGTGGTTATTCTCTAACTGATGTCAGCTCATGGTGAAATCCTCCATGCAATAAAATATGTAAGAATACATTGATGGCAAGGTCGATTTCGTTATGGAGCAACAGTAACTAGAGATCACTGAAAACTGAGGAATATTGGATGGCTGATTCGTCCAAATTTGGATGTCTTCCCACTGCTCACCAGTAACGCTAACAGGGGTCGAAACTAGAACTTTCAGGTTGTGATATCAAGCTCATTGACTGTTCAGCGAGTTAGACAGGAATTCAATGATCTGCGAATTCTAAATTTTGTCTATTCGTCATATAAGGCTACCACCGTTGATTGTTGCCTTCGATGAGTATCGATTTTATCTTGACGTAGTGGATTCTACTGGTCACGATTTCTTATTGCAACTTCAAGACATTCCTCCAGTAGCCACCGATGAGCGAAAGGTTCATATTTATTTAAATCCTTTTTTGATCTTCCTGTTGATTGACTGTACCAAAATATTTGGCCTCTGTGGAAATGTTAGTTCCCAGTGGGAACATTTCGACGACTTCTGAGGATTAACATGTTAACATGTTTTAAACAAATAATAACTGGTGTCCGTTGCTCAAGAGATGACCGTTGTCGCCCATGTGATTTAACGAATAACGCATTAACGCTTGGAGCGATGGTTACTGGGTTCAATTGTTATTGGGAGAACCATCATTTATCGGTGAATGACTGTACATCCAGATGACGAGTCTGAAATGGGGTGAAATGTGGATTTTGGGTCTGCATTGCTAGTCATTACGAGGCTAATAACTGTAAACTGATACTTAGTTTATGTTCAGGGATTCTTGGATTCTGATGATTTCCTAAATATGACAGTGGCTCATGACGAAATCTTCAATAAAAGTAATTCAAATCCCCACAGAAGCTATGATTTAAATTCTTAAATAGTTATAAAAACATAAGAGAAGCATAATTTGGAAAATCTGAAGTTCTGTAGCGCGAAAAGATATGCCTAACAGGAAAATAGAGTTTACAAGCGCTAGGTTTTTAAAGATCAGATTGATTTCAAGAAAGATATGGTCGGAAATCGGTAACACTACTCGGTGAAGCAATCAGGGTCGTGCAGCGCTAAGTATTTGTTTTTGCATAGATAAGATATCTTCAAACTACGACTCCATCAATGGTCGACACCAGTGTCTTCTATTCAGCTACTGAGTTGGAAACTTCTGTCCATCATCGAATGGAGTCATGGATGAACGTTAGTGAAGTGTCATCTACTAGGACAAAATATTCTTGTCCACTGCTACATGGTCTGTACTGATTCTCTAAATGATATCGACTACTGACGAAGTCTATTTTGTCAAGCGGATGAAAGATAGTCAGCGTAATCGTTATAAGTTTCAGTGTATCTGTGGGTATAAGTGTTTACCAACGACTTTGATTCAATCTGGAATAGATGAAACAATTTAGTAGCAGTCGAACAGTTAATGAAGTTAAAATTATCATGAGAAATGTTGA